AGAGAGAGAGAGAGAGAGAGAGAGAGAGAGAGAGAGAAGAAGTGCAAGCCCAATGCTTTCCACCACGGCGGGTCAAAACAATCTTGGAACACAGCATAGCAGTTTTGTCAGCCTTGCATCAGGGAATTGACAGGGCGCTTATTAAGCTTGCAAATAGCACACGGCCGGGAGGGGCGGCGAGCATTTTAGGGCAGGGGGGGGGAGAGAGAGAGAGAGAGAAGTCACCAAGAGCCAGACAGGCTTCAGCAGGGCTGCAATGAATAGGGTGGGAAGAGGGAGAAAGTTCTGCATCTCGGTCAAACAGTGAAAGCCCAGGAGGGAGTTAAGAACTGACCGGCAGGCAGCAGGACTGGGGAGAAAGGACCTGAGTGCACTTGCCACTCGCAAGTTAACCAGGGGCCAGATGTTAAAAAGGGGGGGAGCCTGTCTCGGGGCCATTAATGTCTAGTCCGGACCCGGGGAGCTAATCTGGACCCCTGGAGGCCCCAGGCTCTCCCCAGACAAGGAACACTGGATGGAAACCGAACCAGGAGAGATTCAACCTGGAAATAAGGAGGACTTTTCTGACAGGGAGAGCAATCAACCAAAGGAACAGAAGTTGCCCTCGGGAAGTTGTGGGAGCTTCATCCCTGGAGGCTTCCAAGAAGAAACTGGACTGCCACCTGTCAGAAATGGTGTTTGGGTAGGGGGCTGGACTGGATGACCTCCAAGGTCCCTTCCCACTCTGTTAATCTGTTAATAACAGTTCTGGCCATTCCATTTTGCAAAGAGAGTAGCAGATTGGGACAGGTTTGGGGTGTGGGGGGACTGAAAGGCCAAAGGCTTTGGAGACCAAACTCTATGAGGAAGAATGAAAAGGAGCCGAGGATGTTTAGCCCAGCAAAGAGGGTTAAAGAGACGGCTAATATTTCCAAAGGAGCAGTCAACCAAGGTAACCGAGGTTGGGGGAATACTTTGGATGGCATGAGCTGCCGGGGAAGTGGTGAGTTTCCCCTTGTTAAAGACCTTCAGGTGGGGGAGAGGCTCCTGCAATGAACCCTGGAGGGGGGCTTCGACTGTGGCCTCTGATTTGGTAATAAAAGAAGGGAAACGTATTTGGATAATTGCTCTAATTCGTAGCTGGGGCACTTAATCTGGTGCGCCCATTAAATGTGCTCCCCAGGCAAATTTGTACTGTCCGGACCAAGGGATGGGCTGAGGATCCCAGGTTGATGTCTTCTTAACCTTAATCCATATCTTCCCCAAAATCCCCAGAATTCCTAAACAATAATATAGTTATTTCAGATCCATACAGAAGTCTTTTGTGTGAGGTGAAAGTGGGAAAAACCCACTTGGGTCCATTAAATCTGACCTGCTCAACTGGGAATTGCTCAGCTTTGGAATTATTGTGGGTAATTTCATATATCAGTTGGAAAAAATGGCACCATATAATGTGCTCAGGCCAAGAGAGGAGCTGGTGGCAGGTTGTGTATTGCACAGATCGGGTCCTTTTTATTCCCGCAGCCATCTCCCCAAAGAATGTCTGCCAATCCTGTGCCATCAGTCTGGAAAAGGATGCTTTGATCCAGAAGAGGAAGGAAACCTTTCCTGCGATGCCATCAGCCCTTCAGGGCTCTCGATCGGCCTGGTGTGCTGGTCTCAGAACTGTTGTGTGATGCTGCTGTGGGAAATGTTGCAGCAACATGAACCCAAGGACAAATTCCAGCAGACAGAGTGATATTCTGATTAATTAAGGCCCATAAAGAGTAATTTTATCAGTTGTGGCATCAGATGCAATAGGGAGACACTGCTTTGTCCTAGCTAATGGGAGCCTCATGTCTCCAATTAACGTTTGGATTCCATAAAACTGACATTTAGTAGAACAAATGAAATTTCCTTCAACTGCGTTTCCTCAAATGTCGGGAAACATGTTTCACTTGTGGCAGCTGTTCAGTTATATATTTTTCTTATAGGCCCTTTCACAGCAAGCCACTCTTGCAAGCTGCCACGTTGCTCGTTTGCTCTGAAGAGAAAGTCCCTGCGGGGCGCTGCACCCCAACTAGCCCAGGGCTCCCTTGCCTGGAGAGCCTCCCTCTCCCATGGCTGTCCACCTTCAATGGGGCAGGACTGGGGCCCCTCTGGGCCTGATCCTCAGATCTGCCAGATCTGTCAGGTCAGAGCTGATCAAAGGAACAATACAACTGAGCATGACACACACACACACACACACGTCCTGATCTTCAACGCCCACAAACCAGAGTTTTAATGAACTCAGAGCGATGCTAGCAAGGAAAGAACCCCTGGCATGAGAAACTGCTGTGAGGGGAAGAGGTGAAAATGCATGTAGGTCCTGAAGAAGGAGATGCAAAAAGGAAAAGGACAGCCTGGCTACACGAAACGGCTATGAAGCCAGGTTTCACCTGTATATTTGTTTTTTCTTGCCTGGGTGTATGACTTTCCTCTACGTTGAATTGCCTTTTGTTAGAGCGGGCCCAGGGTTCAAGTCTGTCAAGATCCATCTGGATCTTGAGCCTATCATCCAGGGTGCTGGCTCTTCCTGCCAGCTTAGTATCATCTGCAAATGTGATAAGTTCGCCTTCTATCCCTGCATCTAAGTCATGAATGAAGAGATTCAAGAGTCCTGGGCCTCGGACGGAACCTGTTCGCAGCTGTGCTTCTGCAGGCCCACTCAGCCCACCCAGGGGTGGTGGGTTGCTTTAGGCTAGGAAGAACGACTTAGCCAGCCATGGGGAGGGCAGCTAAGACCCCCCTTCCTCTTTCTTCCAAAGGGCTCCGTGAGAGGGAAGGAAGAATAAGCCTGAACTGAGGACCAGGAGTTGAAGCGCAAGAGACCAAGAGACCAAGGGGCACTTGGATAAGGAGGAGGGTTAGGAGCAAAGGGGCATCCCTGCTGGGGATTTTGCCAATGCCGATGGTGTTCAAGTGATGACTCCGTGTGTTGGCCCCTGTGACTATTGGCACCGCCTTTGGCCACAGTGGTTCTACTTCTATTTGCGGGTCTTTATATTTTGTTATCTTCCCCGTTCTCTTCTGCTGGCTCCAGGTACCACTAGGTGACACCTGAGCTCCCTTTAGCCCTGCCCCCTTAGTCTTCCTTGAAAAGGGGTTTTTCCAGCCATGTTGGGGAATCCCATGGAGAGACTGTAGGATAATTGCAGGATGTTAGGTCATTTTTCCTCCTGCAACCTTTTTATGTTTTGTTTTTATTCATGTTTTAGAGTTTTGCATGTTTTTTCATGTGAACGTTTAGTTTAATAGCATGTTTTAGTATTTATGTAGCATATGTAAGAATGCAGATGAAAAAACCCAGCCATAAATATTAATGTTCCCTAATGAAAACAGCTGAGTAGGATTAAGAAAGCAATTAACACCCAATTAACAAAATGGCACAGTGGTTCCAAAGCTGTGGATTCCCTGGTGTCCATGTGTGTGCGCGGGTTGAAAAGTCGGGATCTGCTCTTACCAGACACATTCCCCCTTGCCCCCAGCTGCTGATGGGGGGGGGGGGAATCTGCCCAATCACATCTGGGGGGCTGTCTGGAGGAGAGTCCCAACCTGGCAAGGGATGGGACTTGTCTTCCTCAGTCAAGTGCGAAACGGAGCCTGAATCATAGAATCTTAGGGCTGGAAGGGACCTTGGAGGTCTTCTAGTCCAACCCCTTGCCTCCCTTCTGCTTACAGACAAGGAAAGGGAAATAATTGACTTGGCACATTTCAGGTTCCAGCTGCAAAGCTCTCTGCAACTGTCACCTACCCTGTGGAGTAGCATCTTTCCCTCCTCACCCCCGTTTTTGGAAGGAAGGAAGGAAGGAAGGAAGGAAGGAAGGAAGGAAGGAAGGAAGGAAGGAAGGAAGGAAGGAGAAGGAAGGAAGGAAGGAAGGAAGGAAGGCATCATGCCAAGCCCCACCAACAGCAGCACATGCTGTACGGACCCTGATGAGTTTAACAGCATTGATTTGAAATGAATTGAATTAAACTCCAATAATATTTCACCCTTTTCATGTGTGAAGTTCCTTGGGAGGACCTGTATTTTGAAAGCTAATTATCATCAATATACTGATAATATCCAAATATATGTATGTGATTGTTGGGCTCCTGCCAGATTTTTTGGGTGGTTGTGATTTTCCCTCCGAAAGACTTTTTTATTTTCTTGTTCTTACTTTTATAATATGAACCTCCCAGAGTCCTCTGGAGTTGGGCAGCCCTTACATTTAATGAAGACATATATACAGTGAAACATTAGAATTTGGGAGGGGTTAATCAGATGCTCGTTGCCTTTTAAAGTGGTGGAGTGTTTTAATGTTAGTGTTCTATATGTTTTGCTTTTATCTATCACTTTTTGGTTGAGCTGCTCAAAGTCGCTGAGGTAATGGGCAGCGTTTAAATATTCTGCTTGTAAAATATTGCAAGGGAATCGTGTCTAGTCGGACTCTGAGTTGTACATGCAGAAGTGCTGGATGGGGCTCATTGCTGGCTAGTTTAGAATTGGGAAGAGCTTTCCAGAGCCTCGGGTTTATTTCCTTCATTTCGGGGCTGCTGATGTTGGGAGTGGTAAAGAGAGACAGACAGACAGACATTCATTCCTCTGTTGCAGACGGGAGAAAGGAGTTGAGGTAGGGGAGCGTAAGGGTGATGTCTATGCACATACAGGAAACCTTGCTTTCATTTGTTTTTTGCTCGTAGTTTATTTGATAAACATTTATCTTTACGCACATTTATCCTTTCACTATATGGAGGTTGGAACTTCTACTCCTCTTTTACTGCCTGACCCGAGGGCCGTCTTCCGAATGGAGGGGCTGCCCCCTCCAAAGGAGAAGGGTCCAGCCAGAGGCCCGGAAGGCAGGGGAAGAAGCCAAGCCAGGAGGGAAGCGCAGCTCCGGAGAGCCGGTCTGACAGCCAGGACAAGGAACCAGGGAGCGGCTTCCCGCCAGAAGCTGTTTTTTGGGGGGTGGGGGTGGGGGTTCAAGAAGAGATAAGACAGCCATTTGTGGGGGGCTGGTGACCGGGGCTGGACTAGAGGACCTCCGAGATCCCGTCCAGCCCCAGGATTCTCGGGTTCAAAACCACTCCGGGGCCGCAGAGGCCAGCCCAGAGCCGGCAGCGAGGAGGCCCAGCCAGTGCGGACCCCCAGAGAGCCCCCGCCCGCCCGCTGGAAGGAAGGGGCAGAGAGGCGAGGCCGCGGGGAGTGCTGTCGCCCGTCGCCCCCCCCCCGCCCCCGGCGCCCTTCGCGGGGGGCTCGCGCGCCCCTCCGCCGCCCCTCCCGAGCGGCCCCCTCGGGGGGAGGCGGGCAGAGCCGGCGGGGCTCGCGGCTGAGGCGGGGGAAGCCGCGCCGCTCGCGCTCGCCCCGCCCGCCGCCCGGGGCGCTTCGGCGGCGGCAGAGGGCGCAGGGAGCGGCCGCCCTTGGACGGCGCGGACCCCCCTCCGGCCTCGCTCCTCCCTCGCGGAGGGCCGCCCCCCGCCACAAAAGGGCCGCCCCGCCCGCCCGCCCGGCCCGAGCCCCGCAGTTGCCGCCCGGGGGCTGCCAGGCGCCGCGTCCCGCCCTGCCCGCCGCTTTTCGGGACGGCCGTCGGGCGCCTCTTCGCCGGAGCCGCCTGGCCGTCGATCCGCCGGAGCCGCGATGCTGCCCGGGCAGCCCAGGAGGGCGCCGCCTCCGCCCGGCAGCGGCTGAGGGAGACCGAGGCTCCTCCGACGCTCCGCCGAGAGACCGCCCGCCCCGCCATGGCCCGCGCCGGCCTCCTCGGTCTCCTCCTGGCGCTGGGTGAGCGGCCGGCGGGCCCGGTGGGAGCTGCGGGGCGGCGGAGGGCGCGGCTGGCGGGACCCCCGGGGCTCCCTCGCGGGGGGCGGGCGGGGCGGGGGCGCGGCGCGAGCCTCCCACCTCTGGCGGCCCCGAAGGGAAGGGCGGGAGGAGGAGAGAAGCCCCGGCAGCCCCGGGGAGCCCGCCGCTTAGACCGCCCAGCCGCGGGGAAGAAGTCCGGGCGGCCGCTCTGGCTTTCGGCGCGAAGAAGCCGTTGAAGGGGCTGCAGGCTGGGCGGCCCAGGGATCCCGCCCGGCGAGGCAACTTCGCCGAGCTCAGCGCCGCGCGGCTCGCTCTCCGCTTCCCGGGGGGGGGGGGGGGGGGGGGGGGCGGGAATGGGAGTCCAGGGTCCCCGCTTGGAAGGGTGAGATGCCCCTGAGCCCCTCCCTCCCCAACCTCCCCGTTGCTCTGAGGGGGGGGGGGGCAGGGCAGAACCGGGCTCTGAATTCCCAGAATGGAAGGTTGTGGTCCAGTCGCATCCCCGGAGGCTTCTCTGCTGGGGACCAGGGGGGCACTGGGCACCTCGGGAGGGAGCAGCCCTGCACCTACCTGACGCCCCCCCCCCCCCCAATCTGCATGGCGGCTGTGCTCCCGTCTCCAGGCTGGGCAGGGTCTCTGGGTGCCCTTGGCTTTGGGGCAGGAGGGGGCAGCCCGGAGGGGTTCCTGCTGGACATGCAGATGTTGCCCCTGGCGGGAGGCCTGAGTGGGAATGCTGCGGCATTAGCAGGGCCTGTGGTGGGAGCAGAGCTTTGCATCTACCCCTTGGGTGTACAAGCGACGACAGAGGGGAAAAAGGCCACCATGGTGCTGGAGCAGGAGGGTCATTTGCCTGGAATGGGGGATCTTTTTGGGTAGAAACTCCACAGCTGTTGTTAAGGACGCGACATGGCTCAGGGCCGAGGCTACAGGTTGCCTCCCGAGCCATCGGGCTGTAGCAGGAGGGCAGAAACGCTCCTGGTAGGATTTGGTCCCCGTGTTGTTCTGCTCTCCATAGTCCAAGGAGGGAGTTTTGCTTCTGCTCAGCCTGCTGTGCTCTCTGGGTCCCTGAGGGATGAGAAAGGTTGAAATGGCCACCGGGCAATGCTCCCTGCCCTCCCCCCACTCTTGCCTGCAGAGTCCTGGTCTGGCTCCTCCCTGCCCGGCTGTGGACCAGGGCCAGAGGGAAGGTCCTGGAGGAGACCACTCGGTGGGGGGCCCGGGGGGGGGGAGACTGCCCTGCTGCCCTGAGGACCTGCCCCGATCCTGACGTGCTGCTTCTGTCTTTGCAGGCAGAGTGCTGCAGGCCTGGGCTGGGCTGTCCCTGCCAGCCACCCCGGATGGGCACGGCTGGCAGAGCCCCATGGACTGTGCCCGCGCCAACGTGCTCTGTGCGTCTGAGCCCGGCTGCAGCTCCAGTTTCCGCACGCTGCGCCAGTGCCTGGCCGGCCGAGACCACAACACCCTGCTGGGCAACAAGGAGTGCCGGCTGGCGCTGGAGGTGCTGCAGGGGAGCGCTTTGCATGGCTGCCGCTGCAGGCGCAGGATGAAGAGGGAGCTGCCCTGCCTGCAAATCTACTGGAGCCTCCACCTGGGCTCGGCTGGGGGTGAGCCCAGAGCCGGGGTCTCCTGGGAGCTTTGGAGGGGGGGGACACACGACTGGGTAGGGTGGGGGGCCTTGCCCCCGTGGTGAGCTGGAGGATGTCCCCTGCGATGGCTGTGCAGTTGTGGAGTTGCCATGACCCAAAGACAAGGCCAGGACTGGTGCCGCTGCTGAGCTGGGAGGCCCTCCTGCCAGCCAGGCCCTCGGGGGCCCCCTGCCCAGGTGCTGCCCAGGACGCCTTCCTGCCTGCTGCTTGAGGGAAGCGTTCAGCCCAGGTCAAGGCAGGTCACGCTCAATTCCTGCCCCCCCCCCGGCCTCCCTTGGATGGTCAGCAACGGCCAAGCTGCCCCCATCCCAGCCGCCTACAGGAAGGCGCCTCTCCCGTCTCTTTGCTCAGGTCTCGGGTCCTGGGGCCCAGCGCTTGCCTGGGGAGGCCGAGGGGGCCCCTCTCTTCCTCTGCTGCTGTGGCAAGGGCAAGCCCAGCCAGAGGGGCTGCAGGGTGGGAAATGCCCCCCCCCCCGTGCCTTTTGGGGTAGTAAAAATCCCTGGCGGGAGCAGCCAGCAACCCTGGGCAGAAAGTGTGCTGGCAGGTGGGAGCACTCCCCAAGGACAGCTCTTGGCTTTCCACTGACCCCAGTTGCTGGGGATGATGGGGGCTGTGTTCCCAAAGGCCTGAAGTGGCGGGTGCAGGCTTTGAGAAGGGCATCCAGGCCAGGCCCCACAGCCCCACAGCCTGGCCTCAGTGGATATGCAGCTCAAGGGCTGGGCTTCCCCAGGCCTCCCCCCTTAAGAGGAGCCGCCTCTACCTGCCCACTGACCCCCCCGCCTCTTGCAGCTGGTCCGGGGGCTGATTTTTCCCTCCTCTGTGTCTCCAGGGGAAGAACTGTACGAAGCTTCGCCCTACGAGCCCATCCGCTCCCCTCCCTCCTCGGATGCCTTCAGGCTGGCTTCAATTGTCTCAGGTACTTTGGGGAAAGAATGGGAGCAGCTGCTTCCTCACCCACCTGTTTCTCCCCCCCTCTAATTCACACGACTGTAGATCCCTAAAAAGTTAGGTGCCCCCTTTGTGCTCTGAACACTCTGAACACAGCAAGAGTGGGCCTCTTGTTCAAGGGGAAGTTTGTGGCCTCCAGGTGCCCCACGGCTGCTATTGCCTCTGCTGATGGCTGTCCAGCAGCAGCCCTGTGGGGGTGACCTGGTCTCTGTTAGATAGCCCCCCCCCGAACATCCACAAGGGAAGATTAATCAGGTGATCCGGTGGATAAAGTTGCTTGGATTTACTCTTGATTGGGCAGAGCAGGCTGAGGTACCTGGGTTACAACCTGGTGGAGTGACCTGGGGTGAGTTTGAGCGAGTGACGGCTGAGGAAACCCCCCCGAGGGCTGTCAATAGGCTGCCTGGAGCCCTTCTGGGTGGTGAAAGCTGCTGGGGAAGGGAACCGGCCTCTTGGGTGGAGGGGATGGTGCCCCCAACTTGGAAGGGGTAATGGGGTGTCCCTTCCTCAAGGGCCCGCTTTCAGTAACCGTTGAGCAGTTTCCAACCTTTCCTCTTTGGGGAAAGTTCTTAAGAGGGAGGTCAGTCTGCAGTTGATGAGAATCCAGGAGGAAATGGATTAATTCAGGGGTCCCCAAACTTGGCAACTTTAAGACTTGTGGACTTCAACTCCCAGAATTCTCCAGCCAGGTGGCTGGAGAATTCTGGGAGTTGAAGTCCACAAGTTTGGAGACCTCTGGATTAACGGGACCCATTTGGGCCTGGGATTCAGGACTGGGACAGCTGGCGTTGGGCTTGGCGATGACCTGTGGGGGAGCCTTCATTTCGTGCTTCTTAACCTCTTGGACACTTTCAGCACCATCAGGCACAGCATCCTTCTGGGCCAGCTCCGTGGGTTGGGGGGAACCATTTCATGGCCTATTGTTTCTCGGGGGCCCAATTCCAGTCAGTGTTAATTGGATTGGGAGATTGCTCCAAGTGGAAATGGCCCCGGAGAGGTGAAGGCAAGTTACAGTGTGGCTCCATCTGATCCCAAAGGAGAATAGATTGGGGGGGGGGGCTCAGCCCTGGCATAACCAGGGGCCCATTTCAGGGAGAGTTTTTGACTGGCAAACTGCTGTTACTTGGAGGTAAAGCTTTATTTTGGAGAGGCTTTAGAAGCTGGTAGTTGAAAGTTTAATAGGCACGTTTCCATCTTTGGGTGCACTTTTATTTTTCATTGGCATGACAATTTTTATTTATTTATTTAGCCCTTGGCATAATTGTTTTGTTTTTAAATTTATTGCTTATTGATTAAATTTATATGCTACCCCTTCACCTAGAAGGCGACTCTGGGCTTTATCTTGTCAAATTGCTTTAGCGTTTTAAAAATACATTATAGAAGTCTTGGTTCAACAGTGGGAGATAAATATTTTGAATTAGAAATAAATAGTACAATTATTCTCTCATTTTGAAGCACTCGGTGGTGTTTCAGGCTGGAACTGCTGCCAGTGGAGCCCGGCCTCTGTGAGGCTGGTGGCCGTGGGGGCCTCGGTGGGAGACCCTGGGTGGCAATTCTATCTACGGACAGGACATCTGGCTTGATGTTAGAAGACGGATCTGCAGAAGTCTTCTCCAAGAAATGCTAGGCTTAGACTCCAGTTGACAATAGGTTTCTTTTTCCACTCGGAATTAAATTGCCATCCTTAAGCTATTTAGCTGGTGGAAAATAGGACGGGTGCCACACTGAGAAGCCCTTCGCTGTTAGATTCTGGGCTTAACAACAGCATGTTTTCAGGAAGGGGGAACTGAGAATGTGGGGGTTTCCTAGGGGAGGAAGCAATGCTAAATGTTAACGGGGAGTGTCACTTCTGCAGCTGCATTGGGACTCGTAATAGATCAGCCAGGTTGGATCCAGAAGAGATGTGGAAAGCGACTTATTTACATCTCAAAAACTCCCCCCTCAGCCTCCTCCTTCTCCAGCAGTTGTCAGAGGGCTAATTCTGACTCCAGGGCAGGTTAGAGATGCTGCTTGTTTTCTCTCAAATATTCAAAAGAGAAACTCTTTGCTGACCGACCTCTGGGCTGCTGGAAAGGGGAAGGAAAGCCAGCGTGGATCTCAGCCCTTGCGAGGCAGGTGGCGAAAAAAGGAGCCACCTGTTAATTCGTTGTGTGGCATCCGGATCCCTCATCCACCGAGGGGAAGCAGGAGACTCCAGGGCCAGGTGGGAAGAGAGACCGGCACACCAGGGGGCTTTCTGGGGAGTTTTGAGGATGGTGGGTTTCTTGGTCTTTTTTTTTTTTTTAAAGTTTCCCTACATGTACTAATCTGATAGATTTCCTTTTTCTTGGGAACATATCTGGAATTTTTCTTTAGATTTTTTATTTTATTTTCAGGATAATGCTAAAGCGGGTGCAGATTAGGGGATATTCGTCCTGATAAAAGTCCTGGGAGAGTCTTGGGAATCTGAAGAGGTTGGAATTGCACAAGATTACAGCCGACTCTACAAAAGGATGCTAGAAGTTTGTATAGTACAAACATCAACAAAGAACACAGCAGAAAAGTTCAGGAGAAATTAATAGTAGGATCCCAGGAGCCATTGAGACCAAGAAGGTTTCGGTGCAGGGAACCGAAATTAGATCATCCTCGACGGGTGTTTGCCCGGCTTCTGTATCAGGAAATGCAGCGAAGGGAAGCCGACAGTCTCTTCTTGGAGACTATCAACTCTACCATTCCTCTGTTGGGAAGTAGTTCAATTGGAGGTGCCCTCCTTCCTGTAGATCAGGGGTGTCCAACCTTGGTAACGTTAAGCCTGGAG